TTAGAACAACCTGTGCAACTTTACTATCTTTGGGTCAGCCTAAGTGCACACACTGGTGTGGCGCTGTGGGCTAATGCACCAGACTTCAAAGTCATTTGAACTGCAAGATCGATGGTTCAAGCTCAACAGCTGCTCCTTGGAAATCCTATACAGGGTCGCTGTGGGTCGGAATCGACTCTATGGCACTTCACAACAACAACAAGCGCACAAACTAGCTATGTCTCCTTCTTAATCCCATCCCAAGTATGGAAAACCATGAAGTCCCTTCCAAGTAAGGGCCATGGAAGAATGCCTGCTGGGAAGATCTCCACAGTGAGAAGGGTATGAGGGTTGGGGTAAGAACTATATCTCTATCAGAAACTGAGGGAAAAGCAAAGCCAACAAAAAAATAAATAAACAGAAAAATTATGACCAAAATGTTTGCCTCATTTATTTACAATCTGCAGGAATAATTACTCATTTTATAGCCCAGCACAGGAAGTTAAGGCAGACAAAACCCCAAACCACTATTGCACTTATGCTTTTGGTTTTATGGGCCAATTCAGTGTCAGATTTCAAATTAAGACAACCAAGTAGATATTATTGCTCAACACAAGTTAGAATTAGAGCTGGGAGTTGTGTCCCTGTACAAATCCTTTCAGGAGAGCTCAATATTACTACTACAAGGGGTTTCAAAAAGTTTACAGAAAACGGAATTTAAAGATAATGGAAGTTTTCTACAAACCTTTTGAAGCCCACTCATAATTTATGATAAGTAAAGTTAGGATCTCTAGTCCCTGGTGATATACTTCTGCTAAAAAAATCAGCCATTGAAAACCCAGCGGCACAGAGTTAGAATATCAACTAGTTTTAAAAAAACAGGCATGTTGAAAATTCCTGAACGACAAGTCAGGCTTGAAGTTCTAGCTGTAATGAATAATTAAACACAAGAAGGAGTAGAGCCTGGGACCTACATGCAGTCACCAAAAGAGCTCATCCGCCTCTCTCTGAGTATGAACTGACCTTAACTCTGAACCAGGCCTGCTCTCACCGAAGCACTCTCAGGCACCTTCCTGGATAACTCACATCTCGTAAATCTTTCAAATATCTTTCTAAAAACCTGAGCAGATATTGGGGCTTAAAGCTAAGTTAAATCCTTTGTAAGGTAAAGCAGATAGTAATAAGTAATTAAGAAAATTAAAGAAAAATTCATCATCCCATTGGTGTCCCTCAGAACAAAGCTCATGGATAAGCTCTCCTTTCCTAGTGTCAACGTGAGATAAAGAAGAAGAAAAAAGCTTGGTGTGAGAGACAAGAGAATGGGGGGAAAGTAGTTTTTGGCCGAAAGAGTGAGCATTAGAATCCACAAACCACTGGGAAATAAGATGTTTCAGCACCACTGATGACCGCGCAGCTGCGCATTTAGAAAGCCACCATTCAGAGATTTGTGGTCAAAGAGCAATCCGCAGCGAGGAACAAGTGACAAGCGCCTTGGCCTCTCCAGTCCTCCCACCTCCCAGTAGGGTCCTCGCAGGTCCTACGATCCCGCTGGGTTCCGCCTCTTCGCTCCCTCCTCCAAACCTCCGCAGCTCCTGCTCCTGTTCCCGCTAATTGACAGGCAATTCCACTACTCCCCGACACGTAGCTTTCGCTTAGCAACCTGGCAGAGATAACAATCCTGCAATAACCAATAGGAGCCAATGGGCGGAGCCGGCGGCGAGGAGGGGGTACTGGTCAGGTGCTTTGGGCAGATGCTGCGTGCAAGTGAGAGAGTACCGATATAAGGGTTGCCACTCGCTCCCTCCACCTTCCCTCTCATTGCTCCAAGCAGATGAGGACAGACCGGATAGCAGCGAGGGTAAGAGTCCAGCGAGGGTCGGCGGATTGCTTTCCGGGGACTCCTACGGGTCCTGTGAGCCCCCAAAACTATTACCAGTCTTTGGACTGCACATCCTGTTCAAGGCTTGTGCGGATCTTGGTGGTCACGAGGTCTGGGAATTGGGAACAAGACCCTCCCTGCTCTCTTGTCCTCCTTGGAGGCTGGGATGGAATCCCAGTGGAGAAGGTGAAGCGATGCACCTCCCCCCCACCCCCTTCTTAGTGACGTATACTCCCTCCACACAGATCGGATTCCTTTACTTTTGCTTCTCTTCCCTTTTCCTGGGGTCCCTTCCCTCTGTCTACGATTGGAAGGTAAGAGAACTAGAAAGTAACCCAATGAAATTTGGACTGCGATCTAGGGACCCTACTGCGTTCTGCAGCTTTTTGTTCATGGAAAGGTGCAACCCCCATCTTCTTCTTTATTGCTTTCTGCCATCGATCTGATCACGTTGGCTCTTCTTACTTACCAAGAGTTCCTAAGCCTTAGTTTATTTCATTTGTCCCAGATGCCATTATCTCCTACTTGGCCCAAATTGCTGAATGTATTCGCTAAGATAGAAAAAAAACCTCTAGTGTTCCATGTCCCTTGATTCTTTCTCTTTTTCTTTTTTTAAACCTAAACTTCTATTTGAGAACACAGTGGCTCTTTAAGATAAGCCCTGGAGTACAACCCACAAGGTCAGCAGATCGAGTACACTAGTCGCTCCTTGAGAGATGAGACTTTTAGCTCCCACAAAGATGTACAGCCTCTGAACCCCTACACAATGTCACTTGTTGTTGTTGTTGTTAAGTGCCAATGAGTCGGTTCCGACCCATATCGACGCTTACAGGGTTTCCAAGGAGCCGCTGGTGAGCTTGAACTGTCAACTTTGCTCTTCAAACCGACTTTGCAGCCCAGCGCTGCAACCCACAGTGCCACACCAGGACTCCCGGAACCGACTATAAAGCTAAAACTAAAACAATGTTTAGACTTCATTAGGAAGCTAATGAAGGTTAGGAAGCATGGTGGTTCCTTCTTGGAATTTAATATTCTATGTGCCTTCCAGAATTGGAAAATTTATTGCCATTTAAAAAACGTTTTATACTTAATTTTTAAACCTTTGTCTCAAGACTAAACAATTTCAGTTTAAGGAATGTTCTAGGTATGATGAATCCTGTTAAAACAAACAAACAAACCAAAATATTGTTTTCAAGATAATATACAGAGTAGGTACATATTTTGTACCTAAAGCAAAACAAATCTTCCAGTCATTTTTTTATTCACTTATATCTGTAATAAACCAAAACTAGACAGAGTCTCTTTTTGTGGTTTTAAAATACCTTTGTTGTTGTTAAGTGTCGCTGAGTCGACTCCAATCCATAGCCACCCTGTGTAGGGTTTCCGAGGAGCAGCTGGTGAGCTTGAATCACCAACCTTGCAGTTCAGACGGCTTTGCAGTGTGGCACATTAACCCCCAGTGCCACACCAGGACTCCAAAATACCTTTAGTATGTTTAAATTAGTAGTATGTTCAAAAGCCGAATCCAGAGATTCCTTAACACAAAGTATTGTTGCTTTTCATTAATACTATCATGCAGGTATTAATGAAAGAATGGGTAGGACAAAATGAGAACAAAAGATACTTGTTTCACCCAGTGATAACTGGCATTTACAAATCTTTTATCCTGGAGCATAGTGACCTTCTGAGATAAACACTGAACTGTGAGCTACACGTTGAGCCCACCAGTTGTTCATGAGAGAAAGATAAGGCTTTCTGCTCCCACAAAGATTTACTGCATTGGAAACCCTATACAAGGTAGCTATGAGTTGGAACTGACTCAAGAGCACTTAACGACAACAACAACATCCTTTATCCATGCAAGTTAGTAGCTTTCATAAATAAAATGAAAGCTTTTGGAAATAAGTGCAAATTTTAAAGTTTGGGTTTTCTCAGGGGGCATCAAAGACATTCAACTTTGACAAATATTTTTTTCTACATGTGTCACTGGTAAGATTAAACATTAACTAATGTAGCGTAGTGGTTACGAATCGGGCTGCGAACCTTAAGGTCAGCGGTTCGAAACTACCAGCCGCTCCGCGGGAGAAAGATGAGGCTTTCTACTCCCGTAAAGATTTACACCCTCGGAAACCCTGTACAGGGTCGCTATGGGTCGGAATCGACTCGACGGCACTTAACAACAACAACAACAACAATTTCTACATTAAGAAAGTTAACATCACATTTCAGAATTGTATTTCTGTGTATACTTAGTTCAGAGCCTAATTGCTTAGTTTAAAGAAGAGGTTATGCTTTGATGATTAATAAATAAATATGCATTACATTTCACAAATATATTTGAATGTCATAAATTTTATTTCAGTTAAAGAAATCAAGTTCATCTATTTTCTCCTCTCTCTGGTAATATCTCTAACCATATGAACCAAACATAAAGGGCTTTGGCTTTAAAAATAGAAGTGAATTCAAAAAAGAAAAAGAAAAAAAAAAAAGCTATTGAATTTGCTATCAGTTCTCCTTTGTTGGTTGTTGTTGTTGTTGTTATGTGCCATTGACTTGGTTCCAACTCATAGCAACCCTGTATAGGGTTGCCAAGGAGTGGTGGCTAGTTGGTTTGAACTGTCAACCTTACATTTCCTATAATATAGGTTCCTGTAATTGATTTACCTACAATGAGAAATATAAGGGTGTTTTGAAAAGTTCATGGAAAAATAGAGTTAAAAGAAAAATGCAGTTTTCCCACAAATTTTTTGACGCCCCCTCATATAGACAGATACTTCTAACCAGAAGCCAGAAGTCTGGGTCAACCTGAAAATGTCTCTAAAAAGTTGTGTGTAAATAATTTATCCCGAAATGCTGTTGGGGAACTCATTTAAATAGTTACTCTGAAGAATGTTCTGGTAAGTTCTTGAAAAGTGTAAAAAGGTTTTACAATGCAACAAAAGTTCTTGGCATTATTATACAGATAGCTTAGTTTCTACTCTAAAGTGCAGGTCTGCATCATAATTCTTCCAGTTATGATATAACCAGTATTACTAAAGACCAGTACTTCCAGTATAGGGCAAAGTGTATGCAATAAAATTGTTGCATTAACTTGTATATGTTTGTTCTACAGATTGTTTTATGCTGATCAAGTACTTTGAAAATGACTTCGAAACTTCTCTGGGTGTGCTTTATACTTACTACATCAACATTCTCAACTTCATTTTCTCTCCAACCAGACCAACCAAAGGTTCTGCTAGTTGCTTTCGATGGATTCCGTTGGGATTACTTATATAAAGTCCCAACGCCCCATTTTCACTATGTTATGAAATATGGTGTTCATGTGAAGCAAGTTACTAATATTTTTATTACCAAGACATACCCTAACTTTTATACTATGGTAACTGGCCTCTTTGCAGAGAGTCATGGGATTGTTTCAAATGACATGTTTGATCCCATTCTGAACAAGTCTTTCTCCTTGGATCACATGGATATTTACGATTCTGAGTTTTGGGAAGCAGCAACTCCAGTATGGATAACAAACCAAAGAGCAGGTCATAGTAGCGGTGCAGCCATGTGGCCTGGAACAGATGTGAATATACACGAGAGCCTCCCTACTCACTACATGCCTTATAATGAATCCGTTTCATTTGAAGACAGAGTTGCCAAAATAATTGAATGGTTCACAGCAAAAGAACCTATTAATCTTGGTCTTCTCTATTGGGAGGACCCAGATGACATGGGCCACCATTTGGGGCCTGACAGCCCGCTCATGGGGCCCGTCATTTCAGATATTGACAACAAGCTAGGATATCTCATAAAAATGTTAAAAAGGGCAAAGCTGTGGAGTACTCTGAACCTAATCATCACAAGTGATCATGGAATGACACAATGCTCGGAGGAAAGAATAATAGAACTTGACCAGTATCTGAATAAAGATGACTATATGCTGATTGATCAGTCTCCAGTAGCAGCCATCTTGCCAAAAGAAGGTAAATCCGACCTGAACGTGGCCTGAGCTACGTGTACATTTTCGTGACCCGGGAATTGTTTTCTCTCCTACCTGCCTGTGTCATGGTAACACACTGGAACTGAATCCTAAAGTTCTGAAAATAGACTCTGTTTTTCCCCCCAGAGTCTAATTTGTTCCTTTTTCTTAAAATACTGAAATTGATACTCTCTGGGTGATGCAAATGTTTAAGCGCTAGACTACAAGCAGAAGGTTGGTAGTTCGAGAGACCTGGTGATCTGCTTCCTAAAGGTCACAGCCTTGAAAGCCCTATGGAGCAATTCTACTCAGCATGCATGGGTCACCTTGAGTTGGAATTGTCTTGATGGGCAACAGCAATATATTTATAGAAGAAGGTTTAAACTACTTAGAAATCATGTAATGTCATGAAAATTACAACCTTTTTTTTGTTTTGTTTTTTCAGTGTTTTATTGTGAATTATGTGATAGTGTACATGGGAGAACATGAGCTTTACATTCATCCTATTGTATTCATTGCCATGATTACAATCCCCTCCATGCATCATCAACCAACCAAGGGTATACACTACAAGCCTGCTCCCTGGTCATCAGCACACAACCCCTCTCCCTCTCTGGGTCTAAAGTCCCCAGCCTCTCCATCTCTCTATGTCATTGTGTCTGCCAGCATCTCTAGCATCACTGTTTCTCTGGGTAGGGTCCCACTTTCTGCTCTTCTCCCTTGATGGTCTCAGGGACCTCTGCTCCTAGACTGTAAAGGCCAGTCCCTGGATGCAAAGTCAATCACTCCCCTCCTTTTGCTACAAAACATCTACCTTTACATTTACAACCCTCACAGTCAGTCCTGATAACAATAGTATTCACTATTGTATCACAAGAGACCTATCCACATCTCTTTTCATCAGCCCCGCCCAGACAGATTGGATACTACTCAGTGGAGATTCTACCTTCCTCCATGCCCTCTGGATCTAGGCTCCCTCTAGAAAGCTTATAAACCAGTCACTTCTTGCCTTCATAGCACCCCCCATTTTGGGTAGCCAGTGTCCAAATTGCCCATCCTTGTCTACTCTGTGTATGGAGTGGGTGGGAATGATCCTCATTATAAAGATTTGTTTCCTCTTTTGAGCTACTGCATCCATAGGTGTAGGTCAAGTTCATCAAATTGTATCAGAGTACTCTTTTTTTTTTTTTTTAACTCTTCTTTCTTCTTCTAGTTGAGCTCTGATCATCCAGTCACTGAAGCCAGGTCAAGTGGGTATTATCTGCAATTGTGGGTGTTCTTGTGCATATGCCCTCTCTTCTTATCAGCTGGACTCTTCACTCTCCACTCTAGTCCTTTGTGGCTATGTCACTGATTCTGGGCCCAAGAGTCCCCAGATCTTGCCACACTGCTGGAAAACCAGGTTTCCACCCGGGTTCGCAGGAGATTATTGAACATTGTAGGGTTTAGCTTGCAGCTTCATTGCTGTTTTTCCTTCACTTCCCCTTATCGGTGATGAACATGGTCACCAATAAGAATGTGTATTCCCATTGAGTCTTAGTCTTGGAAGGGGGTTTGCTCTGAGAGGACCCAGCCACTTGCCTTGATGTCTTCTGGGCGAGTAACTTGCTTGTTCTTGTAGTAATCAGTCGGTCTGCCTATATTGTTTTGTATTTTTCCTGTTGGTCTTTCTTTCAAGAAGTATTTTCTGTTCTTCTAGCTGTTCCAGGCTGGTCTGCTTGTCCTTTCAAGTGGAAATTTCCCACCTCAGAAGATTCTGGATGTGGTTAAGGATTCCACTTATGGTCTTATGTAATGCAGAGGCTCCACAGGAAACCTTCTTCACTGAGCACGAAGTTATAACCTTCTTGCTCAGAAAAATTGAGATGGGAAGATACATACAATTACAGTGATTACATGGAAGCCGTAAAGCTCTCTATAGCCTACTTGGTGGTGGTATTGTTAAGCGCCATCAAGTGGTTCCAACCCATAGAGACCATTCATAGGGTTTCCGAGGAGCAGTGGTGAGCTTGAACTGCTGACCCTGCAGTTCAAACCAACTTTGCAGTACAGCACATTAATCCACAGCACCACACTAGGACTCCAACACCTTCTGTAGCCTATTTGGCTGTTGTTGTTAAGTGCTGTCAAGTTGATTCTGACCCATAGTTACCCTGTATAGGGTTTCCAAGGAGCGACTGGTGAGCTTGAACCACCTACTTTGTGATTTAAACAAGATTTTGCAGTATGGCACATTAACCCACAGAGCCACACCAGGACTCCAGTCTACTTGGTTGTAGTTGTTGTTAAGTGTCATCGAGTCGGTTCCGACCCATAGTGACCCTGTATAGGATTTCCAAGGAACGACTGGTGAGCTTGAACCACCGACCTTGTAGTTCAAATGGCTTTATAGTCTGGCACATTAACCCACAGCACCACACCAAGACTCCTTCTTAATAGGGAAGCAGTGATTACGAGTTGGGCTGCTAACCTCAAGGTCAGCAGTTCGAAACACCAGCAGCTCTGGGAGAAAGATGAGATTTTCTGCTCCTGTAAAGATTTAAAGCCTTGAACACCCTATACAGAGCCTCTGAGTCGAAGCTGACTCCACAGCACACTACCACCACCACCACCCATATAGGAAGGAAAGGATAGGAAGTATACTCCTACACATGGCAGAATATAGGAAGGAGAAGGAGCTATAGGCTAGACATAAGACAGAAGTACAACCTAAGACTTATCCTGCTGTAGCATTGTAGGATAAGCACTGGATTGCTAACTCTCAAGTTGGTGGTTCAAACCAACTAGTTGTTCCTCAGAAACCCTATACAGAGTCAGTGTGAGTCAAAACTGACTCGATAGCACTTAACAGCAACAACATATGTAAGGGCAGTCCCTGAATGGCACGAATGGTTAAGCAACTGGTTCAAATCTACCCAAAGGCACCTCAGAGGAAAGTCTTGGGGATCTCCTTCTGAAAGATCACAGCCATTCAAAACCCTATGGGGCACAGTTCTACCCTGACGTACATGGGTTTGCCATGAGCTGGAATTGACTTGATGGCAACTGTTTGTTTTTGTTGTTGTTTAATAAACTGGAAAAATAATAAGCATACCTTGAACTTTTTATAAACCTCTACTCAGGTCTTCATATCAATGCTGTGACCAAGGCATTCTCTTCATCTCAACGATAGGCAATGGTTATTGTGTGCCTTCAAGTCAATTCCAACACATAGCATTAACCTATATGACAGAGTACTGACCCAGAGGGTTTCCATGGCTGTATGTCTTTATAGGAGCAAATCATTGGGTCTCTTCTGCCTTGGAGCAGCTGTGGATTCAAACTGTGAACCTTTTGTTCATCATCTGAGCGCTTAACCATTGCACTACCATGGTTCCTTTTGTTGTAGTTAAGTTCCGTGGTATTGGTTCTGACTCATAGTGACCCTGTACAGGGTTTCCGAGGCTGCAAATCTTCACAGGAACAGAAAGCCTCATCTTTCTCCCGCGGAACAGCTGGTAATTTCAAACTGCCAACCTTGAGGTTAGCAGCCTGATTTGTAACCAAGGGTTCCTTTGTTGTTGTTGTATGTGCCGTGGAGTCAGTTCCAACTCATAGTGACCCTGTACAGGGTTTCCGAGGCTGTAAATCTTTACAAGAGCAGAGAGCCTCATCTTTCTCCTGCAGAACAGCTGGTGGTTTCGAACTGCTGACTGTGAGATTAGCAGCCCGAGTCGTAACCACTACGCTACTAGAGTTCCTTAGGGTTCCTTTAGAGATAGCTTAAAAAGGTAAAGCGGTTTTTAAAAATACCCCCAAGTTCACAAATAAGCATTTTTTTGTGAGCTTGCTTATTTAGTGAACTTGGGGATATTATCAAGTCTGCTCTTGGGTCTTTTGTCAGAAGCCTGCCCTTGGTGCAAGTGGTTTGCAATGGGCTGGTGACCTGAAAGTTGACAGTTGGAACTGACCCAGGGACACCGCAAGAGAGGCTAGGTAATCTGCTTCTGTAAAGATTACAGGTAAGAAAACACAAAGGGTAGTTCTACACATGGGATCTCTATGAGTCAGAATCAACTCAACCACAAGATACCTGTTTTTTTTTATTTTTATTAGATTGGTCTAGGTCTCAGAGAACTGGATTTTGAAAAGCTAAAATACCTCCCCAAGGAGTTTATATCCCTCATAGGAAAATTAAGGGAACCATCAATAGTGAATGTTAACCTATGCAACAAATCTGATATAAAATAGTGAGTTTTTAAAATTGCTATTTAAGACAATCACAGCAACCCTTTCGGTGTCCATTATAAATTGTAATGGTATTTCGTTATTGGGGTGTGTGGGGGGGAGGTAGGGAGGAAACCTCAACTGATGGATTTATAGACAAGGAATGGACTCAAGATAGTGCCCAGGTTTGTTACTTTTGAAGTTACAGGGAGTAGTTTTGCAACAACTCCATAGTTTTGAGGACACTTCCATCTTACAAGTTGCTTTTCACCCACAGTTTGTCCCTTCCTAATGCCCCAGCATCCAAATAAAAGTTTCTTGGCTAGAGAATCTCTATGTCCCCATTCAGAACTATCAGAATTGAATTCTAATCTGTTGTATATTACAGTGCCTTAGACATTTTACTTGGTGGTAGTGGTTGTGTGTTGTTGAGTCAGTTCCGACTCATAGCTACCCTGTATAGGATTTCCAAGGCTGTCAATATTTATGGATCAGAAAACCATCTTTCTCCTGCCGAGTGCCTGGTGGACTTGAACTGCTGACCTCGTGGTTAGTAGCCCAATATGTAACCCACTAAGCCACCCGGACTCCTTGGACATTTTACCTAGTGCCACTGATTAATGCATATGTGTGTGTGTTTTTATTTAGAGGTTAGAGACTTCTGGTTCTATAAGATATCCTCGTAATTGCTTTACGTACAACAGAGATTCCATTTCAAGATTTCTTCCTCAAAGGGCCTGGAAGTTCTTCCACATAAAGTGCTTAGCTATATTTCAGTATGTTTGTTGTTGTTGTTGTTAAGTGCCGTCGAGTCGGATCCGACCCATAGCGACCCTGTACAGGATTTCCGAGGGTGTAAATCTTTACGGGAGTAGAAAGCCTCATCTTTCTCCCGCGGAGCAGCTGGTAGTTTCGAACCGCTGACCTTAAGGTTCGCAGCCCGATTCGTAACCACTACGCTACCAGAGCATGTGATTTTTTACATCAAATACAGGAGTCACATTTGACCCCAGTTTCCCATAAGGATTCCTGGTGGCATAGTGAGATGAGCATTGGGCTGCTAACCTCCAGGTCAGAGGTTCAAACATATCCGCCGCTCCTCAGGAGAAAGATGAAGCTGGCAGATCACATAACAAAATTCAAGTCTCAGAAACTCTTGAGGTGGAGTTTCTAGCGTGACTCTGAGTTGGAATCAATGGGTGGGTGGCCATACTTGTTCCTTTCCACCAGAGAGCCTCTGTTCTAAGTGTTTCCCCTCCCATCTCTTTAGGTAAATTTGATGAAATCTATGAAGCCCTAGTTCATGCTCATCCTAATCTTACTGTATTCAAAAAAGAAGAAATTCCAGAAAGATGGCATTACAGATACAACAATCGAATTCAACCCATCATCGCAGTGGCCGATGAAGGATGGTATATTTTCCAGAATAAGTCAGATAACTTTCTGTGTGAGTATATTACAGTATTTCTTCCCACTCAGCATTGGTTTTCTGCTCAAGTAGGTACTAAGGGTAATATAACAGTTTATTTCCTGATCAAGTAACTAGTATTATACATTAATAGCAGGAAAAAAAAAATTCCTCAGGGCTTTAATAGGAGGGAACCTAATAAAAGTAAAACATTTCCTCCTTTTGAAATCACCAGACCCAAAACACGTATGTACGTACAGTGACAAAAACTGGTAATTATATCTGTTCTGTTTCTGAAAAAAATGTAACTGAAACTCATAAACTGAATTATATCACGTACCTACTTTATTTTCTAATTTAATAATAATTTAATCCTTATTTTTATATGCAATAGATAGCTTTGCAGTTTCTTTTTCCTTTCAGAGCTACCAAATATAGTTCAACTTTGCTTTACTCATTGGAGTCAGTTCTAAAAAAGAGGAAAAGATACATTTAGTGTGATAATAATATGTCAAGTCACATAAATACTTATGAAATAATTTTGGAGTTGTTTTTACCGAATAAACGTAGAAAACATTTAGAATATGCTGGAAATCCCATTCAACCTGCAGAATAAAGTCTGTTTTCTTAGGTTGCCATCTAATCAGCAGTAATTCCTTTACCGTGCACCCTGATCTTACACTGGGCATGCAGGTCTCTAAATGCAGGGTTCTTCTGCCTTGAATTCAGTATCACTTGCTGCATCAGAAGACCCCTAAGGTTTTGACTTTGTATGTAACCACACTAAAGTACATGATGCTAAGTTAGATTTTGCTCCAAACCTCCACAAAGTTAATATTTTCCTACCTTTGCCTTTTAATAAAGATTACAGCTGTAAGTAGAGGTCTAGTGTTTGTGGTTTCTGTTGTATTACTTTCCGGTTTTCCTCCCCTTGCTGGCATTGATGAATTTAGATGTTTAATGTCTTACTGAGACTCAGAGTACCTGTATTTATAGGACAATAATTAGAACATGGTAGGTAACCAGTAATTTTATTTATTCATTGAATATTAGTTTGTTAGCCACCTCTCCCCATCATCCCCAAATAACTCTCATTTTCCCCTAACTTGCCTTCCCTTTGCTTTTATCCTTTTCCTTCTCTGCTGTTTAAGTGTTAGCATGAAAAAAGATTTGTGATCCTTTGATTTTTCATTTGAAGAGAATTGTGATGGTGACAACATGAGAGATTATTTGATTTTTAAAGACAAATTAGATAAAATTGGCACTTAGGTTTCAGAACTTGACCATACAATAATTATTTCCATTTGAATGCCATCTGGCTGGCAAACTGACTCACGTGTTTTTTCTTTACAGTAGGTAACCATGGTTATGATAATGCACTACCAGAAATGCATCCAATATTTTTAGCCCGAGGTCCTGCCTTCAGACGGAATTTCACAAAAGATTCCATGAACTCCACAGATCTTTACTCACTGTTGTGCCACCTCCTCAATATCACCGCCATGCCGCACAATGGATCATTCCAGAATGTCCAGGATCTTCTCAATGCAGCAACTCCTTACGTCAAGAGTACTACACTACTCCATTGTAATAACAAACAAAAAGAATATAAGCGAGAAAACTCATATGATTATTTCATAGGAGTCTCTCTAGGTAGCATTATAGTTATTGTCTTTTTTGTAATTTTCTTTAAACATTTAATTCGCAGTCAGATACCTGACTTACGAGATATGCAGGCTGAAATAGTTCAACCACTACTACATGCCTAATGCTGCTTTGAAGTAAAGAGTTCATAATTATGTCAGTGTTTAAAAGGTTCAAATTCTAGGAAACCCTCTGCAGACATTTGCACAGACCATAAATCAGTTATATATAAGTGCACACACAGATAATGTCTATTTTTCCCTCGCTGTTTATCACACACACAAACAACATGGACCAAAATATAAATACCTGCAAAAAATTAAATATGTGAAAGTATTTTTTCCGCTAGCTTAGTGATAGATAAGATCCTACTTTATTTGGATTTGACACATATAATGCATTACATAGCCAGTTTGCACTGTTTAAAGTATCTTATATATTGCACTTTAAATTACTCTTTTCATGAGTACTTTTATTTGAAATGCACTTTATGGACAGTTATATTTTATAATTCAGTTACAGAAGATAACTTTTTATGCCCATGTCACAGAATACATGTTATTGGTCTTTCCTGAACGATGCAGTAATCGACCTTATCTTGAGAAAGTGACACTACTGAAAATTAAATGTGACAATCTTTGCATTTTGGAGAAAGTCTTTCTTAACAGCAAGTTGCATCTGTGGATATTCCTTGTCATATTTTTCTAAAGGACATGGTTTTCATTTTATTTTTCCCACAAAAGTGATTCAAATACTGATCTATCTAGTCTAAAGATACTTGTGTCTTCCATAGGCTATGGCTAGTTCCTCTTTAGACATTTTATTCTGGTTTTTATAAGAATGAGGACACCACGGATATACAGTTCCTTCTTATGGAGTCCAGCAGTAGCCTGAATAGAAGTTAAGAGATCAGGATCATCACAACTATGTTTCTGCTGTTTTGTAATTATTTTTGAAAGCGAAATCACTATTAATCACAATAAAAATCAAATTAGATTAAAAAAAAAACTTGTTTTTTGTTTTTTGATTTTTTTTCCTTTTGGCAGCATGTAGTATCAGAGCATAAGCGTGTTTCAGATTTTGAGAATTTGCAGATTCAGAGTTGAATAGCAACACAAACCATTTTAGGTTCAATATGGGCCAATTAAGCCTTGGAAAGAGCTGTGTGAAGTCTTTAAAAAAAAAAACAGAAAACAGGCAGGACCACGTCTATTCACACTGCACCCGGAACTGCGTGGACCACGTCTGTTCACACTGCACCCGGAACTGCGTGGACCACATCTATTTACACTGCACCCGGAGACGCACCGACCACGTCTGTTCACACTGCACCCGGAGTGGTGCCGGCTACGTCTGTTCACACTGTACTCAGAGTGATGATGCTCAAGGATGCCTTGTTAGTTGCCACTGACTCCAACTCATGGCAACCCTATGTGTGTAGAGTAGAACAACTCCAAAAAGTTTTCAAGACTGGAAAAGGTTCCTAAAAACAAGCAAAACTGAGGTAACAGTTATTAAAACACTAAGAGGAGCTCAAATTATAGCTCCTGTGTCAAGAAAGTACTCTGGAAACAAACCTGAATCCAAGTACACTGTTAATGCCTTGTTATTTTTCATCTGCTGGTCATCTCAACCGCTCTCATTCCAGCAGCCTAAAGCTGTGCTTCACATGTAAACAGTACAAGTCTGAGGGAGGCTGGTATTTCCTGTGGCTTCTTAGAGTACAGAGCATCCCTAGAAATAAAAGCTTTATTTGAAGAAAACAGAAAACCAGCTTACATACGCATGGCCCATGTTATTGTTAAGTGCTGTTGAATCAATTCCAACTCATAGTGACCTTGCATAAGGTTTCTGAGGAATGACTGGTGGGTTTGAACTGCTGAACTTATACTTAGCAGTCCTGTGCTTATCCTTCAGCTCCACAACAGGACTCCATAGACAATGGGATTTAAAAAAAAATTTTTTTTTAGCATTCCGATTTTATTTGTGCAAAGCCTAAATAGATAGTACAACATAAAGTGATTTGTAAATTTGAAGTGTAATCTGGGAATGAGTTGATGACTAACTCTAGTTGACCACCTAGTATTTGAATCTCAACATTGTTTTGTTGTTGTCTATACAGTATTATAAGGACCTCTGGTAGCCTAGTGATTATGAATCAGGCTTCGAACGACAAAGTTAGCAGTTCAAAACTACCAGCTGTTTCCACAGGAGAAAGATGAGGCTTTCTGCTTCTGTAAAGATTTACAGCCTCAGAAACCCTGTACGGGGTCGCTATGAGTCGGAACAGACTCCACAGCACATAACAACAACATACAGTATTATGAATATGGTAATCCTCATTGGATGATAAAGCTTTATTTCATTGTGAAAAATGGACCTAAAAAGAAAGTCAAAGACTAGTCCTAGCAATGATTACTTATATTTAACAGAATAAATGTTACTCTTACCATTTGAATGAAGCATGCTTGTGTATATGGACATACACACAAGGAAAAGTTTCTCAGCATGTTCAGGTTGCAATGTGACAACTCTTAGCACCAAAGACTTAAAACTAGAAAAAGTGACATTACAAGTCAGAGAATTTGTCCATCTAGTTCTGTGGAATCATGCCACTTTGCTTTATTAAATGGGGAAAACCCAGGTTTTTGCAAAATATTTAGAAAGTTACATCTCTTTTAAATATTTTCAAAATTACATTTTACCATCCTATGAAAAATTAAATTGCCAGTTTACAATAAAGTGCTCTAAGTTTCAGAGATGCATAAAAATAAAATGAACTGAAAAGAGTCTGTGTAAATTGAGGTCTTAGAAATGAAGCTTAAAAGTAGTCTTGGATAAAGGAACGGTGGCATTCAGTGTAGAGAACTGTTTTGTGGGCAAACGATATTGACTACCAATTTTAAATTGCCACCTGGTAAGGAGCTCTGGTAGTGTAGTGGTTACAAATCCGGCTGCTAACCTCAGGGTCAGCAGTTCGAAACTACCAGCTGTTCCGTGAGAGAAAGAAGAGTCTTTCTGCTCCTGTAAAGATTTACAGCCTTGGAAACCTTGTACAGGGTCAACTATGAGTCGGAACCGACTCTACAGCATATAACAACAACAACAAGGAATTCTGGAAGCATAATGGTTACGAGTAGGGCTGGAGAAAGATGAGGCTTTCTGCTCCCATAAAGATTTACAGCCTCAGAAACCCTAGACAGGATCTCTAAGAGTCAGAACCTACTCCACGACACACCACCACCACCATTAACATTATGATTGCAGCAAGACTCTGAAGAGACAATAAGTCAATGGAAAGATCACTTTTCTTAACACATAATCATTCTATGGTGAGTTATTTGATAGCTAGGAAGCAGTGTCCATGGAGTTTTCTTACCAATTTGAAGAGACTCACTGCTGATAGGCTCACTGTTTCTTCAAGTTCCTTATTTTCGAGCTCTAATTGAGCTATTTTCCTATGAACTTTAAAAAACTGGTCATCCTCCACCTGAACTGCTTTCCTCATCACTTCTCCCATTTCACACATTCTGTCCATTTGACTTACAATTTCTGCAGAATGAGGCTAGTGAGCTTTCAGGACAGATTCAGTATCCACTGCTTTTTGGGCAACCATCAACTGCTAACATCTGTTTCCGGTACTTGCTCATAATGAGCGCCAAGGTTTCCTGATGTTCCTCCAAGGAAAACCATAGCTCTGGGTTTTCCTGCTGCAAGTCTCTAATCTGTGAGTCCTCTTGTGAAAGGACAATGTGAGGCTTGTATTTGGACATGTCCTTCATCTCGATGCTTCCTCTTGATACTGGGCCCGGAAGTACTGTCCCCGCCTCTGGCATAGCTGCCACCCACAGCCACTCCAGCAGTGTCTTGGTGTCTCGTCTATCAGGATCTTTTCAATGGTGCAGATCCGCACAGTTCACCAACGTGATGGGTTCGGATCCTAGACAATGTGAGGCATATTTATGTACCAGTTGTTTAATAAGTAGATACAATTGTATCAGTGTCCAGAAAGAAAGGAAAAATTAGATGTGAACAACAAAAGAACAAATAAATGTGAATAACAAAAGAACAAATAAATCTTAGGTTTGAAGAAGTACCACCAGAATGCTCCTTAGAAGCCAGGATGGTTAGAGTTTGTCTCTCATACTTTTGACATATACCAGCAGGGACCAGTCCCTGGAGAAAGACCCCGATGAGATGAATTGGCACAGTGGCAGCAGCAATGGGCTCAAGCTCCAACCCCACAATCAAGCATAAGCAATGATTGTGAGGTTGTCGCTGGACCAGGCAGTGTTTCATTGTGTTGTCCGTAAGGTCGTTATGAGTTGGTACGGACTTGATGGCAGCAAATAAAAACAACAAAAGTGACATCGTTATTTTTTAAATTATATCAATCACGAATGGTGACTCCTAATATTTTACTGAGCTATAAAACCTAAAGAATAGAATGGAGTCACCAGAAACGGATGACAGAAATAAAAGCTGAGACTTTAGATGGTAAGTACCACCCTCTCCAAAGAACCAGGTCTCTGGCTTATGTAAAAACTCATGTTTGCTTGAGTGGCAGCATTACTGAATTTATGAATTTCTCTGCATTATTGAGATGATGTTATTGTGTGCCCTCTAGTCATTTCCAACCCATAGTGACCCTACATAGGGTTTCCAAGAGGGGCTAGTGAGTTTGAACAACCCACAGTGCCACACCAGACCTCACTGAGATTAGTATAAGTAATTGAAATAAAATTAGCCAATTTTAATGCTTTTAAATAGACATTACTATACAGTAAGCACTGGGCTGCTAACTGTAAGGTCGGTGGTCCAAGTCACCAGCTTCTCCACAAAAACGCTATACAGGATCACTATGGGTGGGAACCAACTCAACAATACTTAACAGCAACAACTATTCAAATACTCTTTTTACATTTAGGCTGATTTCATTACATTCATTTTAGACCTGGTGTGGTGCTAAAGGATAAACTAACCACAAGGCTAGTTTATCCACCAGTCACTCCTCGAAACACTCAAACAGGGTCTTTGTGAGAATCTACTCGACAACACTTAACAAGAATATTACTTTAGTAATAAGAAAGTAAATTCTGTAATATTGATAAAAAATATTAAAATT